TATCGATAAAGGTTTCCTTCCTAACCTTTTATTTGAAGTAGTGTGGAATGTCAGCAACTTTATTATGTCATTATTTTCTCTACGAGTTACATGTACAGTCGATTTTAGTTGCTGATGCTGTTGGTAGTCCTCAGGTGATGTGGTTTCTATTATTTAGTACAGTTCTTTGTGATTCTGTAGCGCCAGTCCACAACGTTCAAAGGAAGGCCTTTGCCAAGATCCTCAGGTTTCATTAGCTGAAAGCCATTGATCTTAGAAAGCGTTTGTATACAGCCTAATGTTTCTGAACGGGTTTGGTGCCATGTATGAATCCATATAAAAAGAAGCTACTTAAGAACATGACTCGAGTTTTTAAATTGATGTTTTAAGATTGTAGCAATTTGTGGTGCTGGATGAATCTGGCGCAGTCTATTATATATTCAATGTGAACAATAAAAAATGCATAATTTAAAAAGAGAGGAATAGTATATTTTTTACATTTTTAAATTTCCAAAATATTAAGAGCGAAAGGTTTAGACGTAAACTACCTTCAATAATAGCAGGCACAAAAAAGCTAAAAATCAGTATACCGTGACGATAACAGGAACCAAAGTTAATGGAAACATAATTATATCGTTAAAATCATTATGTTATTATTAAGACGAAGGACCAAAGTATTTTTTCGTTTTTTAATTAAACTTTTCCTCCTTTTTAGAACATTTGAAATGTTCATTAAAACTTGTTTTTTTTGCGTCAACGGCTGTACAAACATTTAGTATAGCCAATTTGTGCCCCCTTTTAGCGGTCACAGACATGTTTATTTGGAAATTCTTGCAAAAATCAAATAATTGTTAGATTTTAATTAAATTCTTGGGACCTATTCACAAATGAATTAAATATTTGAAAAATATTTTAATAAAAATCAGTGGTAAAAATATTTTTTATGTGTGTTTCTGCCCCGATAATTTTGAATGGCTATAATATTTACTAACAGAATTCTTTGAATTTAAATCCGCATTTTTTTATTTTATTTTTTTTTTTTTTTTTTTTTTTGCAAAATCGGACACCTTTTTACAGAAAATCTGTTTTAAATCGAAAAAAAACTTAATAAAACTATAACGTTATTTAATTAGACAATATTGTCTGAAGAAAAAACAATTTTCGACGAGATTTTTTTTACAGTTTTAAATTGAAATTTATAAAAATTTTAAATCTTTTAAAATTCATTTTGAATGTATTCTTAGGAAATATTGTCATTAAGTAAAATTATATTTATTAATCATGTATTGTAAAAACCCAGAATATTTTTAAAAGAATTTCGATTTGTTTGTTTGGATGCAGAAAGCTTCAAGATAGTTTTTTTCATTTTTAAAAATTCATTTTAAACCTTGCATATATCGAATTACTTAAATAATTGAAAGAGCTATAACAATGGAATTAAGAAATTTAATTTCCCGAAAAACTTTTATAAATTACAAGCGACAGTAACACTAAGATTTCAGCAAATAAATGTCGAATGTTTCTTGTATGGAAACGACCATTATCATCGTTTCTCTTTCTGAACTTGTGATATCGCAAATAGAATTTATCAGACAAATTCACCAGATTGTGTAACGTGAATAAATATCTCAGTGTAATATTAATAAAGTCTGATTAGAATTCGAGACTAAACAATTAATACGCAAAATAATACTTTATTCATCTTTGGTATCAAATCATTTTAACATCGGTCATTGATGGTATGTTGTTTCGGAGATTTTCTTGAAAAAAGTTCTATTTTCTACGCGTAAGTATTTGAGTTTCTCTTCGTTGGTCGGTTGCTCATGTAACTTATTGCTATCTGGTTGTTTGTTGTGTGTATGGCCTTCATTCAACAGGGATGGCCTTATTTATGTCGGCGAACACAACGACATCTTTCGAAGTCTATTTCTGCACTTGTTGACTGTAACATAACTCGCTCTTTTGATGTTTTCATGCGACACCGAGGACAAAAGTTATATTGTATCTCTTAGGGTGTCAACAAGTGATATTTAGGTCACCGCAGGTCAAAATTTCCTGATGGAAATTTCATTCGATTGTGTTGTCTGTTACTTTTGTCGTTAAATATATATTCAACAATTAATACAATAAACAAGTATGAAGTTGATGAATATTCTACAATAGGTTTACTTATAATGAACATAATTTTAATAATTCAAAAAGTTTATTGATATTTATCAATCTTTTGACATTAACTTCAGAAGTATAGTGCGTATTACACTTTTTCTTTTCTTTAGGAGGTCGGCGATCAGAGCTCTCCACAACTTCCTGTTCTTTGTAGCTCTTAGGAAGATCTGTCTATTTGCATTCTCTTTTTATCTTTTTACTCTGTTTAATCATTTACAAAAACTTGTTAGGTTGGTTACTGGCTGCTTTTCTTTGTGTTGTAATCTTGGGATGGTTACTGAACAGAATAAGCAAACGAAGTTTGGCAATGAACGATAATACTTAGGACAAGAAAAACACACGGCGCGTAAAGGAAGTAATTAACTGTTAGAGGTGAGTCAAGTGAATTCCACAATGAATCTCCAGCTGCAGGATATCTACCAACCGCCCCACGCGGTCAGATATGGCACAAGACCAAATATCCGAGCCTGTAGGCTCGGCAAAAATTTCCCTGTAGACCCCGTATAAAACGGAGTCGCGTGGCTGTTTCCCGAGAGAGACGAGCCTCGTCTGGGGATCTTATCTGCCCGGAGGCAGAGAGTTTGATCAGCACAGCTGGAGACGAATCTCCAAATGCAGATTAATATATAGTATTTAATACTTTATTTATGCGAATGGGGATATACCCATTATCCTACAACACTCTGTCGTTTTTGCGTTTGAGTGCTCGGTTCACGAAGTCTTCTTTATGCATCCTGTGAATTTCAATTTTCTTTTTTCTGTTTCTATGTATAAATGGCATTTTTTGTTCGCATTTACCATAAAACTTCCTCATTCACATCTCCAGGCCATGGTATTCTCAGAATCCACCTGTAGAATCACATTTCTCTTTCCTCGAGTAACTGCTTCATCTTTGTGGAGATTGTTCAGCATTCACTGCAATATAGGATCAAAAATGTTACATAACAGCTCAGTTCACTTTGTTTTTGGTTCCAATTAAAATTTACTGTTTGTTACTATTTTACTTAGGTTTTGGAATTAATATTTCGCTATTCCAATGTGTCTTCGGATTTCGATGTCGCGAGTTCAGTCTTCTACGATACAGTTTTACAGAAAGTACTAACTTCAAAATCCTGAGGAAAGTTGATCTTCCTTGAAGATTAGGGTTATTCACATATCTCCGAATGTATAAAAATCATCTCATTAAATGTTTCCTCGGAAAAATGTAATATGGTATTTTAACCAGTGAGTTTTTCGAAGTTGTCACCTAAAATTCTTTTTTTAGTAAATTTTTCCACCAAGTGTATGCTTTAATAATTAAAGGCTATAAAATGATTTGCATAATGAAAATATGGTGCAAGGTTTACTGAGTAAAGAATGCATTCGTTATATAAATAATAAATTACAAACATTTAATTAAATCTAGAATATTCTTAAATCTGGAACGTGGTTAAATTATAATTCCTTTTTCTCCTAAAAACTTTAAAGATAAAGCCCATATAATTATGCTCATGTACATAAATCCATCTACGTACATTCGAACCTGTCTGCCTGATTTTTATGCGTAGGATTATATATGCTTTTATATGAATGTATGTGTGTATGCATGTATGTTTAGATAGATTAATAAAGTGGAAACCTGAGACATTGTAATCAGGTGAAATTTGCTTGCATTTTCACTATGTTAGTTATCATAAAAAAAGTCGAAGATGCGATATATGCATTGGAGATGTCAACATGAAACACGTACAGAAGTTTAAATAATTGGGAAGTGCTTTAACATTAGATAGAAGAAGAAACACCGAAATTTGAATCGCGCATTAGATCAGAGTATGATAACTTCCAAAAGATAAGAAAATAACTAAGAAAAAATTAAATTCTTGTTCGAAACAATAAAAGAGTTTTTAATTGCTATGTTATACAATCCGCAATCCGCAATCCGCCTATAACATGCTGGACAATCTACTCTAGGGATGAAGCGAAGAAAGCTGAAATTACTTGGACGCATAATGAGGAAGAACATCTACAGCAATTGAAAGAAGAATGTTTCATCTACGTTATTAAAGTTTTCATTGAGCGGCAAATGTGTTAATATAGTTACGTAGATACGTTATGTTTTCATCTATATATAATCAGTATTGTTTTGATCTTACTCGGATTTGATTGACCTCAAGACACCATCCGTCTAGATCATCATTAGCAGTTGGTATGTCATCTGTATAGCATCAAATATTTTGAATTTGGTCATGGATTATCCAATGTGTATTTTTTCCTCGAAGATTAAGTGTTTTTCACCAAATATAAAACCCTAGCGAATGTCGTTGATTTGCGAGTGCAAAGATATACTGACATATTTCAATTGTTGCCTTTCTGCCAAGCCCAGCGATATTCGATTGCCGTTCCAATTCAGAAGCAGCTAATAACCACTGTCCCTATAGGAATCATTTTTCAGCAAGTAATTTCATTCTACCTTCATTTTCCCATGGCTTAGATTCCTGAGTAGGGCCACTGCAAGAAATACAAATTTACGCGCGCTTTAAGGAATATTAGTCCAAATGAGTGCACATCGCGGCCATTGTTAAATTCCCTCATTCAGTTTGGGACGAAGGCAACAGAACGAGAAATTCTGGCGCTAATGATGGAGGAGGGTAATGAGCTGAATCCAACCCGCGCTCGCATTGTAAAGGCAATATTAGTATCCTGCCATCTCAATTTGCCTAGGTGTTAAACAACCCATTCGTAATAGAATCATTTGCTGATTATTGATTCATCTCTCTTCCTATATGCATATCGACATGTGCAGCTATTTTCACAATCTGTCTCTCGATTGGTTTTCCAGTCTGCGTAGAACGGAAATTCACGTTTGCTGTACGCATTCACGTTTGTACGTGCAAATAAGCGTATGTAAAACTGAATGGAAAGAAAGTGATGTCGGTTGAAAACGAGAACGGGAGAAAACAAAAATAAGAGATAAGTGTGAATTTAGTGAAGGAATGATTTGAACAATCAAAGAAGGAAGGAAGGAAGGAATGATAGGATGATATGAGGAACCCAGGAAGGATGGAAGGAATTATTTTGAAAGGAATAGTAAAAAAATGAATTATTTCTGAAAGGAAGGGAGAAAGAAATGATAGTGTTGAAGGAGAGGAGGAGCTAAGGAGAGATGGAAGGAAGGCCGGAAGAAAGGAGAAAAGGACAGAATGAAAGAAAGAAGAAATAGTTGAGGAACGAAAAAAGGAAATTTTTTCAGAAGGAAATATTTGAGGAAAAAAATAAATATTTAGGGACTCCTCAAAGAAAGGAAACAGTTGAGAGATTCAACATGGAAGGAAAGAATGAAGGAAAGAATTAAGAAATTTAAAAAAAAAAAGAAAGATGAAGAGATTTGAAAAATTCAGGAAGTAAGTAAAGAGTTGAGAAATCCAGTAAAGAAGGAAAGAGTTGCGAAAACCAGGATGGAAGAAAAGTGTTAAGAAATCTAGGAAGGATGAAAGGAAAGATTTAAGGGCATCAAAAAAGAATGGAGTACATCAAGTAAGAAACCGAGATGAAAGGAAAGAGTTCAGAGTATAAGGAAAGAAAGATAAAAAGAAGGAACGACATTAGGAAGATAGAAAAGCTGGGTTGGTAGCAGGCAAGATTGGAAGGAAAAAAATTGGAATTAAGGAAGAAAGAGTTTAAGGAAAATTGGAAAAATCGAAGGAAAAGAGGAACGAATCCTGATAGTAATCAGAAATGGAAGTAAAAAAATGGGAAGGAAACATGGAAAAAAGAAGAGTATAAGAAATGAAAACTGAAATGAAACATGAGAAGAATTATGAAATGAAGAATGGAAACAGGTACAAGTGTAATTAAGATATAAAGAGCGAAAAGAAAAGTAAAAAAAAGAAGCAAAGAATTGAAACTGAAAGAAAAGAGAGACGAGAAAATGAAGAGTGGACAGAAAACGCAGTAAAAGCAACGACAGAAAGAAGACAGGGAGAATGGCAGAAGTTTTGAATTATTAGGTTGGTGCAAAAATAATGACGTAAGAATGTCGTTTTTTGACGTTAAAAATACGTCAAAAAAACGACATTATTACGTCATTATTTTTGCACCAACCTAATAATAAAGAGGATGAAGACTGATTAAAGACAAGAACGAAAGAGAAATGAAGACCTGCTAATATTACCATTTCGCTTAACTTGCTAACAATGATGGGGTAGTGTCTTAATTTCTAAGTAATATATTGATATATTTCTTCCAATTTTTACTTTGAATCCACTTCATCGAAGCTAGTACGGAAAACTGTTTTTTCAATATAGAAACAGGAAACAAGAACCCAGAAAATAAGCAAAATATATTCAAAACATGAAATTCATACATACAGTTATGAAAACAAGTAGAACAGAACTACTGTCATTGGAAAATATAAATCATGTGGGCCATAAATGACGTCGTTAGAATTGTGTATTTATGCCTAGCAGTAACATCTAAGAAATATCTGATATCTCCCATATTTAATGAACTTGATTTAATACATAAGAAATCTCTTTCGCTGCTCTATAAAGGTTAATCCTCCAGTATTTCACCGCTGTCATATCACTTCAGTCACTTTATCAATTCCAAGATCAGCTAAAGTTGTCAGAGTCTCTATTACAATTTCATCTGATCTGTCAGCTTTGTTCTTTTTTATCTAGGAATTTAATATTTCTTCTCTTAGTCTTCTATCTATTTTCTTTAGATTTCTCGTCTAAGATTTTCAGTAAATCTTTTTGGCGTATTCTTTCAGTCTCATTAGAACTGAGAGATGCCAGATTCTCTCCAAAGACTAATAAGCGAACAGTTTTCACTTATAATCTCCAATTCATTTTTCAAACGGTAGCAAAACTACATCAACTCCTAGAAAAGTTATTAAAACATAGCAAGATGAAAGGATTAAACATCAAGTTTAAGAAGACAAAAATGTATGATTGTGAGCAAATGGAACATACCCAGATGTGTAATACGAATTTAAGACTTCAGACTCAAGCGAGTACAAAAATCTAAATATCTATTTAACTGAAGACGAAAAATGTAAAATCCAAATCCCAAATCCATCGTAATAGCAAAAGATGTTTTTCAAAACGAGGCAAGTTTTCGCTAGAAACAAAATAAATACTACTGAGCTGTAATGTCAGCCCTCCAAGCTAGCAGAGAATCTCTTTACTGAGATCACTAAAAATCAGCATAATGCAATGAAAATATTCTCCAAGCGTAATAAAGAGAGATTTATCGTCAAAATCTTTATGTTATTATTAAGAGAAAAGACCAAAGTATTTTTTATTATTTTATTAAATTTTTTACTTCTTTTTTAGAATATTCAAAATCCTGATTGAAAAACTAGTTTTTTCTTGCATGTGCGGTTGTACTAACTTTTAACATAGCAAATTTTTGCGTCTTTATTGCGGTGACAGATACATTAATTTAGAAATTCTTGCAAAAATCAAATAATTCTCAGAGTTTAATGGAATTTTCAGGACTTATTCAGAAGTGAGTGAAATTATGTGTTTAAATTTTATTCGAAAATCTTATTAAAAATTTCAGATTAACTTAACATTAAATTTGCGAATGTTCCTCAAATAACATTTGAGAAATATATATTTTATTTTTGCAAGATTTTTAAGACGAAAAAATATGTTTTGCTTACAAATGTCTAAAAAAAAATGCTTGCAGTCGTCGTTTTTACTGAACAAAAATAAAATTCTATTCCAATCAATATAATTTCTGTCTGAAATAGCCAAAGTATTTTGCTTATGGAATATAGTAAATTTAAACCTTCAGCTTTCATTTAAAGTTAAAATGAAGTTTCTGGAAATCGTTTTCATTTTAAAAGAATCATTTTTAAACATTACGTATACCGAATTCGTGGAGGTAACTAACAGAAATGTAGTTCTACAGAAAGACGCTGAGAATACCATGAAGCGAACGTGTGAGAAACATAGCATTTTTAAGGAAAATAGAAATAACTGTACATTATACTTAGAAACAGAAAGAGACAATTGAAATTTCTAGGACACATAATGGGGAAAGAAGACTTGGAAAGTTTGACAGTGACAGGACACATTGAAGGCAAAGTGAACATAGGAAAGCCTTGTATATCCTACCTAACCAGCTTGTGAAAATGGTTGGCAGAAAAGGGATGAGATAGGATAGGGAAAAGAAACCTTACTACAAAAGATAAAGTTGTGGCGAGTTTTGATCACTCAATTTCTGAAGAAACACGATACATAGAACAGGAAGAAGTATAGAAGCAGAAGTAGAAGCAGTAATAGATGCAAAATAGAGATATTACAATTAGAAGTAGAAGGAATAGAAGCAGAAGTAGAAGTAGTAGAACAGAAGAATTAGTAGATTTAGTAATAAAAGCAGAAGTAGATGTAGAAAGAGTAGAAGTAGACGAAGTAGAAATAGAAAAAGAAGTAGAAGAATCAGAAGTAGAATTAGAAGAAGAAGAAGAAGCAGAAGTAGACGTTGTTGAAGTAGAAGTAGTAGTGGTAAAAGAAGTAGAAGCAGAAGTAAGTGTAGAAGAATCAAAAGTAGAAGCGGAAGTAGAATTAGAAGTAGAAGTAGAGAAGTAGAATTAAGAAAGAATTAAAAGAAGAAGTAGAAGCTAGAAGAAATATAAGGAGAAGAATTAAAAGAAGAAGTAGAAGTAAAATATAGAAAGAATTAAAAGAAAGTCAAAAGTAGAAGCAGAAGTAGAATTAGAAGAAGTAGAAGTAGAGCTAGTAGAAATATAAGGAGAAGAATTAAAAGAAGAAGTAGAAGTAAGTGTAGAAGAATCAAAAGTAGAAGGGAAGTAGAATTAGAAGAAGTAGAAGTAGAGCTAGTAGAAATATAAGGAGAAGAATTAAAAGAAGAAGTGGAAGCAGAAGTAAATGTAAAAAAAAAACAAAAGTTAGAGTAGAAGAAGGAGAAGCAGTCGTAGGAGAAGAAGCAGAAGTAGAAGTTGTAAAAGTAGAAGAATTAAAAGCAGAAGCAAAATTAGGGAAAGTAGAAAAAGAATTACAAGCAGAATGAGTTGAATCTGTAGTAGAAGTAGAATTAGAGGTGGAAGTACAGCGTGTTCGGAACGTTATTGTGAACTTTTTTAATATATGCTGTATTTCAGATTTCACTCGAATATGGTTTTAACAGTATTGTATATAATTTTCATTCATATTCTTTTCCTGTATTCTATATTGAAACATGTCTATTAATAAAATATAAGTAAATCGTGAATTTCCGAAAATCTTTTAGAAACAGATGTAGAAGTAGAAGTAGAAGCAGAAGCAATAGAAGTAGAAGTAGAAGAAAGAAAAGTAGTAGTAGAAGTAGAAAAAGAAGTAGAATCTGAGGATGTACAAATAGAAGCAAAAGACGTAGAAGCAGAAGAAGTAAAAGTAGAAGCAGAGGAAGTAGTAGAAGTAGAATCAGTAGAAGCAGAGGAAGTAGTAGAAGTAGTAGAAGTAGAAGCAGAGGAAGTAGAATAAGTAGAAGCAGAGGAAGTAGTAGAAGTAGAATAATTAGAAACAGAGGAAGTAGTAGAAGAAGAGGAAGAGAAGAAGAGAGAAGTAGAGAGAAGAAGAAGCAGAGGAAGTAGTAGAAGTAGAAGAAGTAGTAGAAGTAGAAGCAGAGAAAGTAGTAGAAGTAGAAGCAGAGAAAGTAGTAGAAGTAGAAGCAGAGGAAGTAGTAGAAGCAGAGGAAGTAGTAGAAGTAGAAGAAGTAGTAGAAGTAGAAGAAGCAGAGGAAGTAGTAGAAGTAGAAGAAGTAGTAGAAGTAGAAGCAGAGGAAGTAGTAGAAGTAGAAGTGAAAGTAGAACTAAAAGTAGAAGTAGAAGAAGAAGTAAAAGTCAAACTAAAAGCAGAAGCACAGGAAGTAGGAGAAGTAGAAAAAGAAATAAAAGAAGCAGAAGTAGTAGTAGAAGCAGAAGAAGTAGAAGTAAAAGTAGAAGTAGTAGAAGTAGAAGAAGAAGAAGTAAGAGCAGTGAAAATAAAAGTAAAATTAGTAGAAATACAAGCAGAAAGTAGAAGTAAATGAAACAGAAGTATAAATAAAAGTAATAAAAATTTCGTAATATTTGAACTTTTAATAGGGGAACGTATTACTTTGTACAATTAGACGTAATTAATATATATAATAAATCGTTGGACATGCATTTTACATCTAGTTTTGAAGTAGGTTAGTTGCTTATCTACAAGGTGTTTACATTCTAATATTTCAGCAAAAGGTAAAAAAAAATGATCCACTTCTTATTCTTCTGATCTCATATTCTCTCAGATATATTCTCGCTTTTCACCTTCACACATCATAAGAGCAGAAGGTCATTGTTCTCTTTGGACATCAAGTAGAGAAAGATGACACAGCAAAATGACACCTAACCACCTGTCTTTCCTGATTCCACCTGCTGCAAAAGTCATAATGCCAGGTAATTGAAACGCACACACTGTGTGTTCAAACGATATTACCGTTTTACATTTTACTCGATATTCCATGAGTTTTATATATTGCAGTCCTTCTTATCGCACAACAGTCAATAGCAAAAAATAGTTGTACAAATGGATTAGACTAGCGGGTCCCCTATTTCTTTTCTCTGTGCCACATTTTCGGAATTAAAATTTGATCGCGCACCACACCAAATTTTATGCGATAAAAAGTACACTTAAAAATAATAAAAAACAGAGATAGAATTGAAGGGAGATAACCGTGGATTCGAAATTGGTGCATTATAATTGATAAGTCTCTCCTCCAATTTGCGGACCCGAGTTACTATATTCTTAATACTTGATGTAATGCAAAAATATCATATTGATAAAATCGATTAATAATTATATATAAGTATTTATACTGGGCTTCATGCATGCAATTACAGTTAATCCATAATATTTTAAATTTGAAATCGTATTTTTTTGGCATATGAAACTTTTAAAACTTTCTAAATCTTTAATTGTAGTTCAGTCATTTCTCCTCAAAGGCTATCATCTTCCGTGGCATCTATAAGGTGCTCTGCATCGTTTGAGAACAACTGGATTAGAGTAAACGTCTGTCTCCAACCACTAGAAGTATGGATATTATTAATGGCTGAACACATAATCGACAGCGCTTGGCCAGAATATCGACGTTTTCTGTATACGCTAAATAATCATCAGGAAATAGCATAGGTAAAATTATTAT